GAGTTTTCCTGCTAGCAGAGTGGGAGAAATGGATTAATTGCTTTCCTGACTGAAAACTGAAGTCAAGACTTGTAACTGAGGCAGGTGGCTCTGCCCAGATAAAGGTTCCTCCTTCCCCAGAACAGCCACCTCAGACAAACACAAAGTTCAGCTCTTGCTCTTCTGCCTCCTCAGAGCTACTGTGACACATCCAAGTGACTGATGAATAGAGGCCCTCTCCAAAGCTGCATCTTTGTTTCTAGGAGGTGACAGGATTTTTCCGGTGTGTGGGACCACCCCCAGAGCAGACTTTTTGGCATGGAGGCTGAACTGTGCTGTCTCATCAAGGGACTTATGGATGACTGAGGATGTAGTGCTCCCTTTCCCACAGGTATTTACTGGTGAACTCAGATGCATGAGTTTTCCACTTTGCTCAGGTTGATTGAGGTGCCAGTTTCATCCAGAAGATAGCTGCAGTCTGGAGGGAGAGAGATGTAGTGAAAAGTCCAGTGTGCCTCTGCACAGCCAGCGTGAGCCTGTGGGCTTTAGAGGTATTTTCCTTGTCAAGTTACACTTTGAAGAGAATCTGTTGAAGTCTAGAGGGGAGGAAGCTTGCTGTTCCTTTCCCTGTGTTTTGGGATGATCTGGGATTCCCATGCAACCTGTTTGTTACCTTCTGTTACTTCTCTATGGGTGAGTGCCAGTCCCTCCAGTGACCTCTGCTCAGGAGCACTTGTACCTCCAGGCCTGCACTGACACTCCCTCCTCAGGTGAGCTGTGAGGGTCAGGATGCTGCACTGCAGGTTCACTGTTTCTTGCCAGTTGGCTGCGGACAGGGAATGAGACCTGAGATATGAATGTGGTCACCCTGAATCTAGGGGCCCCATGGACATAGCAGGAGGCACAGTGGGTGGCTGCAGGAGAGGTGGGATCCTTGTGTGGCCATTGCAGGGCGTTGAGCTGTTGTATTACAGCCACGTTTGCTGACATTTGGTGCTGGGAATGTTCCAAGTTAGGAGTAGGATTGCACATTTTGATTTGGGGCAAATGGTTCTGTTTTATGATGTGTCTTGATCCTTCAACTTTGTTTCATCAAACATGAGTAGGAAAAAGCAGCAAGTCCTGGTCCTTGCCAGTCCCCTTCCACAGACTTGTCCCGGTCACAAGGGGAAAGAGCTGGAGATTGTGGCTGAGTCACCAGGGGACATTTTGGCCGTGAACTCTCACCAACTTTGTCATGGTTGAGAAATCTCCAGGGCTGACACACGTCAATAGTTGGAGCTGGGGATCCAATTCAAATAGCAGAGGGAGCAAAGGCTTAGGACCATGTGTGTCCGGCTGTTTCAGCCACAAGTGTCTGGGGTCAGGCAAAGGCTCTTGGCCAACTGGGCAAGGCCAGGACAGGGTCTGCTCGTTCCCTCCCACCAACTGCAGAGATCTACTCTCTGAGGGCCAGGATTTGAGCCAGGGAACCCTTCCCACAGCTGAGAGCAGAGTAGCTCTGCTGGTAGCTGTCACTTCTGCCCCATGACTCTTCTGGCTGTGTCTAGATAAGCAGTGCTCCCTCCAGTGATTCCCCAGAGCTGCAAGGTTGGGAACTCATCCTTGCCTCTGGCCTCTCTCTCTGCAGTTAAATTAGCTTTGCTGGTATGGTTTTCCTCCATGATTCATTGTGTAGGAATTAAAGGTATCCTCCCCCCCTTTTTTTTTTTTTTAAAACAGGTGAGGTAAAGGATGCTGATGTGCCCTGGCAGAGCTCTCCTGCCCTGTTCCCTAACCATCGGGCATCGCTGTACATGAAGGTGCCATGTCCCGCCCTGCCTCTCATGGGGCTGCCACACGGTGATGATGAAAATGGTCTGGATAACCAGCCAGCCCCTGGAGCCGAGTCAAAGCCAGTGCTCTCTATATCTCACTGTAACAAACATGGTGCTTAGCATGTCTCTTCCCAGAGCTGCTCTCCTCCAGCAGGGCCCCAGCCTGCAATGTAGGGGCTGCTCATGCCAGGTGCTGTCCTGCAGGCAGTGGGGATGACAAAATGCCTGATGGCGATGGTGTTATCTGCTGGAGAGCCCAGGGGAGAAGCTGCATTTCCAGCTGATGCTGCTGTGGTTTCAGCAGCCAGGTTTTCCAGCAATGGGGGATGGCCCCTGCAGATTCCTGAGCCTCCTGCAGCTGGGAATGTGTGTGTGTGAGAGCAGGTAGAGCAGGGGCTGGGCTAAAATGCTTGTTGCCTGCTCTGTGTGGTCCCAACTTCTCTGAGTTTCAGACTTTTTGCAGTCTTGTGGTGTTTCCTGCCCCCTATGCTTGTCCTGCAGCTTGTCTGGGCTGTGAAGGTGCCAGATCTGCCCACCCTGCTCCTGGCTGAGCCCAGCGCTGCTGCAAGGGCAGCCCCAGTCTCCTCTGTGAGATGGTCAGATGCCACCAGAAAAACCTTCCTCAGGACCTTGCCTGTTCTGGTCCTACTCTGGAGCATGAGGTAGTAGGGTTTTGCAGCCCAGGAGGAGCTGTGGGCAGTTGTCAGGATGGCAGCTGTACCTGCACTGCAGAGCAGGAGGAAGCCACAGGGCTTAGCAGCAAATGTGGGATGGTGGAGCAATAAGTCCTGGTCCAAATTTTGCCCTGGCCTGACAGGGGTAGCTGTGCTTGGTCAGTGATGTGTCAATCTGGAATAAAACCTACCTGGTTTGTGTGAGTTCCTTCCGTTCACTGAGCACTTCTCATACCTCATGTAGGAGGGAATAAAGCTGGCAGAACAGGATGAGCCTGGGGCTGGGCTTGTACCTGCTCTTGCACTTCGCACAGCCAGGCACTTTCCTGCACCCTTGGGCTGTCAGAGTGATGTGCATGGCTTATGCCCCTACTGCATCTTCCATTTGGTGCCCAAGAGTGCTGGACAAGTGATCCTGCAGCAGTGGTCGTTCCCTGTAGATCATTCCCTTTTCCTGTGGAGATGCTGGGACATACAGATTAAATTGTGTCCCTGGGCTGGTTGGCAGAGGTGGAGGACCTGAATGGTGGGAACCAGTCACAACACTAATGTACTGTATATTCAGTGCTTGCTACTCTGTGGACAAATTTCCTTTGCAAAATGCCCGTCCTTGCATGAGGAGGTGATTTCCTTCTGCCTTGTGTCTTTGTTTCACAGTCTCTAATTCATGCACTTGATCTGCTTGGGGCTTGGTGACACAGTGTATGTGCAACACTCCTTGCCTAGGACATGTGCAGGGTGACTCATGTTCACCTTGCAGAGTCTGGGGAGGCTGGTGGGCAACAGCTGGAGCTGTGTGGGCTCGGTGTCCTGGCTGCATGAAACACAAGCTGCTGATGTGCTGCAATGGCAAAGCTTCATAAGGCCAGAAGACATCAAGTCAAAGCCCCAGCATTGAATAGGCTTTGGAGCTGGTCTCATGCAGCTATTGCTGCCTGTAGGCTGGTTCTAATAAGTCTGATACAGCAGGTTTGCACAGATGGGACACGGCTGGGCTTTACTGCATGTGCAGGGACTGCTGTGTGGCACCTATATGCTCCATGTTCTGTGGGCAGGTGTGCAGCAGCCCAGCTGCACGAGGTGCTGTACAGTCCCATCAGGTCTGACTGGCACCTTTCCTCTTCGTGGCACTGCAGGTGTGGAGTCTGCTCCGTGGCATCTGTGTTATAGCTGCTCTGATTGCCCCAGTCACAGCCTGTCACTCTCATTTTCCCCTCACTGTTCCCAAAGGAGGCTGTGTCACAGTAAAATGGGCAAGGTTGTGTGGGTAATTGCTTTGTTAGACCAACTGATAGAGAACACAATAAAAATAGATGAGTCGTTGGGTGTACCAGCCCTTGTTCAGAGCACTGCAGTGTGGCACAGAAAAGCAAGTGTCCAGCTTGCTGTGTCGCATCCTTGGATGAAAGTGGTGCTGCCTCTTCAGCATCTGCCTGTGCCAGAGACACAGTGCTGGGGTGTTCTAACGAGGTGGGGCTCTGTCTCAGAGCTCCATTTTCCTTCCAACCCAGAGCATGAACAGGCCAGTCACGTCAGGAACCACTTGCAGGCTTGGGGACAAGTTGGGAGCAGGGCTGGGTGCTGCAGAGGGAGGGAAAGGGCCGTCCCTGGATGGTGATGTGGTGGCGTTGGGGGGTGGCTGAGCCTGCCTGTGGAGGGCAGGAGGTCCCCACTGGTTAGGGGACACTGCAGAGCGCCCGCCCACCGCCCTGCTGTGAAGGACTGCCAAGGGCTGGTGGCTGGAGAGTGCGGAGACGTGCTGGGGGAGGCCAGCCCTTGGCTGCGGCTGGCTGCGTAATGTGGTGTCTCTGCACCCTGTGATGGGTGTTACAGGCAGGAGGGGCTTTACGCTGGGTGAGCCAGGCAGGCTTTTGCTGTAACGGTCTGCTGTCCTTCCGCACAAGGCACTAGCTGTGCTGCAGACGTGTCTTGCTGCACTGGCTCCCTTGGGAAATGTCTTCTGGCGGGTGACTTCGGAAGCCACCCCTGCGCATTTGCCCATTTCTGAGGCAGCCCCTGGCAAAGAGGCAGCACTCTCATCACTGTCAGCAGCTCCCAGTCTGTGTTACAGGGCAGAAAATCTTGTCGCAGCAATGGAGCTCCATGGAGAAAGGAGCAGTGACTTTCCTTAGATTGCTTCTGCGATGAGGCAGCTGCCGAGGGGCTTTGGCATGTCCTGTCTTTCATTCTCTCTGGTGTCAATGGAGCCAGCTGGCCCCCGGCCTGCTGCTACCACAGGACATCCTTGGCATGGTGTGGCTCAGGCTCCTGGTCTGCACACCTGGTGGCAGAGGGCCCGAGGCAAAAGGTCTGAGTGTAAGAATGCCGGGAAACCTCTCTGCTCCCCCATCAGAGAGGAGAGAGAGTCAGTGATGTCTCCCCACCATGCCCCAGTGCCTGGGGCAGAGGGTGCTGGGGTGGACTGTGTGTGCATCTGTGCGCCTGGAGGAAATGGCCTAGCCTGGGGTGAAGGTGGGCAGTGGGTCGCAATGCTCAGCTCTCACCCCACTGCTTCGAGCCCCTTCCCTGAAGCCCAGCTGCAGCAAAGTGAGCAAGGCGGGGAGCTGGAGTCCCCAAGCCCCCTGTGTCATTTACATACACCTCACTGGCCCCTGCAGCACAGTGACCTGGGTTCGTGTAGCACTGCAGATCCTCTCCGAAACAGCCTCCCTTCCTCTGCTTCCTGCCATGGCCCTGGGCATCGCAGTCCTGCTCCTGGTGGGGTCGGTGGGGACAGGTAAGGGTGGTGTGGCTGAGCTAGATGCTGTCTGGGGGGGCACTGCGGGGTGGCGGCAGGAATGGGCTGCGTTAGTCTGAGGAGGGCATTTTGCTCTAGGGCTGTGTGGTGTAATGAGCAGGATGGAGGTTGCCTCAAAGGAGCAGAGGGGCATTTTAGGTCCGGGGGGGGGTGGAGGGGACATGGCTCAGCCCATCAGTAACTGCACTCTTGGTGCATGCAGCTTCCAGTGCTCAGCCTGTGCTGACCCAGCCATCCTCCGTGTTGGTGCTGCCCGGGCAGACCGCTCGGCTGTCCTGCACCCTGAGCCCCCAGTACAATATCAGCGAGTTCGGCATCTCCTGGTACCAGCAGCGCCCGGGGCACTCCCTGACGTATCTGCTCTATTACAACTCCGAGCGAGATAAGCACAAGCCCGCCCAGATTCCCAACCGCTTCTCTGCTACCAAAGACCTCGCCAGGAATGCCTGCATCCTCATCATCACATCTGCCCGCCAGGAAGACAATGGCAATTATTACTGCTCCCTGTCACATGCCTTCAACTGGTTTTAGAAATGGGGAACAAAAGCTTTCTGCATTTTCCCTTGCAACCCTGACACAAAGCCAACAGGGAGAATGGCAGCCGTAAGAGGAATGGAAAAAGACCCTCTTGCATGCTTGAGCAAGCCCAGCAGCACTGCGTTGTGCTGTGAGGTGCAGCAACCTCCTCTTCAACCCCGAACATCCCCCGTGGAGCATTCGACAGCCCAACATGATGCAAGACCTGCCAGGGCTCAGCCCAGGAACACGCAGGAGCAGGGATCTCCTGCTGCAGTGGGATGATGGAGAGCTCTGCCGTGGCCTGGCTTTCCTGGGCTCTTCCAGCAATTGGCACAATACAGGCTTGGTCCCGGCTTGGGCTTCTGCATGGTTTGGCTCACCCGATAATAAAGGTTAATCCTTAGCTGTGCGGCTTATGTCATGTATGCGGGGTTCGGAGGAGCCCCTCGGGTGTCTCTCTGGGGGGATGGCACCGTGCCCTGGGGTGCCTGAGTTAGGAGGGTGAGCCGAAGGCACGATGGCGCCAGGTTCGGTGGGATCTCCTGGGCCTGGGTGGAGCCACACCACCCACCATCTTCCCCACAGAGCCGGAGACCCCCACCCACACTGCCCGCCTCACGGGGAGGCCTGTCCTCACGCCCGAGAGGCCTCGCCCCTGCCGGAGCACCCTCGGTGGCTCCTCACAGCCCCCATCTCCCTTCACCCCTCACCTCCCCACATCGCCATCTCCCCTCACCTGCACCCCCAGCGGCCCCTATAGCTTCTGAGGGAAAAGGACACGTTTAACCACATGGGCACTTGTGGGTACTTTATAGGAAAACTTTTACATAGAAGGAGAATGTATATTTCCACAAAAATACCACAGATTTCATTAAAAACGCTGGGGGGGGGGGGGGGGGGGGGGGAGGGTGATGGAGGGGGTGTGTGTAACGCTCCACAGCACTTCGCGCGCCAACACCGCCCCGCACTGCGCATGCTCAGCGCTGCCTGCCGGTCCAGGGGCGGGCGTTAGGGCCGCTCGCAGGCGCCGGCGTCACGTGGGGCGCTGGTGGTGCTGCCATTGGCTCGGGGAGGAGGAGAACATGGTGCGCGTCACTTCCTGGTTCTCTCAGTGCGCGTCCGGGAGCCGGCGAGGCCGGGTCTGCGTGGCGGGATGGTGAGCCCCGAGCAGGCGGGGTGGGGGTGTGTGTGTGTGTGTGTGTGTATAGTTTTGCGGGGGTTAAAACTCTCTCTTTCCTCCTGCTGTGTTCGAAGTTGGTGTTAGCATTAGGGGACCTCCACATCCCACACCGGTGCAGTGGTCTGCCGTTGGAGTTCAAGAAGCTGCTGGTTCCGGGGAAGATTCAGCACATCTTGTGTACAGGAAACCTCTGCACCAAGGAGAGCTATGACTACCTCAGGACTCTGGCCGGGGACATCCACGTGGTTAGGGGGGACTCTGAGGTAACGATCTGGCTGCTGTTAGTTCCTCAGCCCACCTTCCTGCATGCTGTGGTTATCTGAGTGAAACCTGGAGAGTCCTTCAGCATTAGCAGTTCCTGAACAGTAATTCATTAGGATAGGAAGTAGGAATGTGTAAGAATAAAGAAAACTATTTTCTAGACCCTTTTTCTTGTACTTGCAACAAGGGGAACTGAGTGTGTGTGTGGCCATACAGGCACTTGATTCATACAAAGTCTGGCACAAGTCCGTCTGTGATTGCTGTGAGGTGACTGGAGCCTCTCAGCTGGCTGTGTAGTTGCAGGAACTGTGTGTGTGTGTGTTTACTGGTGGGTAGCCTTGAGGCTCCTTATGTCTGTGTGCCTCCAGTCTGATGCAAATTCCCAGCTCCTCACTCTGCAGTTGCTCTTGCTGGGGCGTGGTTCAAGCATCCAGTGGGTCTGTACATTGAAAAAGACCTTGTGCACTTACACAGCAAAAAGAGGGTTTGTGTCTTGGATCATAGGAACCCGCACTGTGTAGCTGAGGGGTTTGCGGCTCATTTATAGGCTGTGCCTTTCTCTTTCTCAGAGCCTCAGTTATCCCGAAGAGAAGGTTGTAACTGTTGAGCAGTTCAGAATCGGGCTGATTCATGGCCATCAAGTTATTCCCTGGGGTGATGCGGCCAGCCTGGCACTGCTGCAGAGGCAGTTGGATGTGGACATTCTCATCTCAGGACACACGCACAGATTTGAAGCATTTGAACATGAAAACAAATTCTATATAAACCCTGGATCAGCTACAGGAGCCTACAGCCCTCTGGAAATGTGAGTGAGGGGATCCCAGAGCTGCCCAGTGCAGCAGAGCCTGGAGGTGTTACCTGAAATGCATGCATTCACCTGTGAGTGTCCAGCCAGGGTGCTGGTGAGGTGCTGTGCGGAGAAGCAAGCCAGCTCTGCCCCTCCTGGGGAGCTCAGTGGGGCTCCCCTGTTACCAGGGTTTTACTCAGCCCATGTGTTGGGCATGACAGCCCAGCACTGGTGTATCTGGGGATGCTTCCTGGGCCTGGAGAGGAGTGAGTTGCAGCAGCTTCTCGAAGTCGTTTTGCTTTCTGGTGTCTTCCCAGAAGCTGCAGGCTACTATTTTGTAGGAAATCAGACTTGTGGAGGCAAAGTCAGCTTCAGTGTCTGAGCCTGACAGGCTGTTTAGTAGCCTCGAGGGCTGTTCTAGGTGGGGTACAACTCTGCCTGAGATGCTGTTGTAGGTGCCTGCAAACAGCAGTGCTTCCCACATCCCTGCAGCCCTTGGCAACAAAGTGTATTAGAATACATTAGTATAAGGGATGTTAATAGGGGCAGCATAAGGTCACTGGGAAGATTGACACAATATATTTTCTTTCCAGGAACAACATCCCTTCATTTGTACTGATGGATATCCAGGCTTCTACAGTTGTGGCTTATGTATACCAACTAATTGAGGAGGATGTGAAAGTAGAAAGAATTGAGTTCAAGAAGTACTGAGTCGTGTTCAAAGCTGCTTGTTGACTTTTTGCTGCCTTTTGTTCCTTGTCATTCCAGTCCAGGCTGAGTGGAGGCAGACCACAGGGGGGTGCTGCTGCTGCAGCATGTTGGACTGTAAAGCAGCCACAATGCTTTCTTGCTTGTGAGCTTGTAAAAAAACATTAGTCTTAGTTCCCAACCAGACCTTGAAGCAGAAGCAACCGCTGATGAAGAGAGAGGCCTGCGGGAACTATCCTGTGTCTGAGGAGAAGCTGCTGTGTTCCTGGCCTAAGGGAGTCCAGGAGAGTGGTGGTACCTTGGCACTGAACCTCTTGGGCAAAGTGAATGTAGACTAATAAATCCCTGCCTTCATGTGTCCGGGTCCTATTCATGGTGGTTCTGAAAGGTGAAGGGGGGCTGGTATTTGGTGTGAGAGGGCTCAGAGGGCTGAAAGGAAGCTGTTCCTTGCTTCCTGAGGTATTTTGGGATCTGTCTAAGATGCCTCAGGGCTCTAGCTGCTTCGGCAGGCCCACTCCAGCTCTGGCTTTGTGGCAGGTCTGGGACAGGCAGTGTTGGAGAGCTCTGCCTGGTGTGTAGAGCTGGGCAGGGGGGGCATTTGCCCTCATGCTGCAGAAGCAGCAGAGGCAGCAGAGGCTGGGGTGCTGCTCCTCGTCCCTGCAGTGCTGCTGAGGGGTGGGAGCACCTGTGCTGCTGCAGCAAACCTGGCCTCTGGCACAGGAGGTCTCGGAGCAGTGGTAACAGCAGGGGTGCAGAGCTCAGCAGGGACATGCCAGGGGTGGGAGGGGAAGGGGAGTGCGGCCGGAGGAGCTGTGCTGCCACGGAGGGAGGCTCTAAGGGTAGGGAGAGCAGGGGGGATGTCAAGGTTGCAGGCCAGGCTGAGGCAGCTGCAGAGGACGCTTCAGCAAGGCCAGGAAGAAAAGAATTCATGCCATCCCTTGGTATGTGTCTTGTCCAAGGTTGTATTTACCAAAATATTTGTCAAGGACCATTGGCCCAGACATGAAGATACAGCTGGTCCCAGTCCTGTGGCTGCTGAGAGAGAACTGCTTGTGGTGCCCTGATGTGAAGTGGCAGCTGCTTTTGCCAGGTGAGTGGCCCAGGGATCTGGTAGCTCAGAGTGGTCCTCGCGCCTTTGGAGGGACAGAGAGGAGCTGGCAGTGGCCGGAGGGGCACTGGGACAGGAGCTGCCAGTGAAGATTGGGGGCCATGTGTGCGTGAAAGAGCCAGGACCAGGTGTGCGGGGGTTTAAAGAGGAGTCAGGGTTGACAACAGCCCCATCGGCGTGGGGACACGGAGCTGGTGGGATCGCGCCATGGCCTTGGCCGCTCTCCTCCTCGCGGTGCTCGCCCACAGCTCAGGTGCCCTGGACAGACTGGCTGCGCCCGGCCGGGGACGGGGGGCACAGGGGCCCGATCCCTGTCCCGCTGCCCGGGGAGGGCTGTGCTCGAGGGGCACTGGCTGACCCGCGTCTTCTCCCCTCTCTCCTCTCCCTCTCCAGGTTCCCTGGTCCAGGCAGCGCTGACTCAGCCGCCCTCGGTGTCAGCGAACCCGGGACAAACCGTCCAGATCACCTGCTCTGGGAGCAGCAACAACTATGGCTGGTACCAGCAGAAGGTCCCTGGCACTTCCCCTGTCACTGTGATCTATGCTAACAACAAGAGACCCTCGGGCATCCCTTCGCGCTTCTCCGGATCCCAGTCTGGCACCACGGGCACGTTAACCATCACTGGGGTCCAAGCCGAGGACGAGGCTGTCTATTGCTGTGGTGGCTGGGACAGCAGCGGTGCTGGTCACCATAATGGAAGCACCGACTGTCCGTTCCATCCTCTTTGTGCTGCTGGTTCTCCTTGCAGGACCCTCGTGCTCTGGCACTGGGCTCTGTGTCCCTCTGTGGCATCATGGCCTTTGGGCACAGAGATTTATGCCACTGCCTGGGGAGGGGCTACAGCCACCCCTCAGGGAGTTCCTCTTGCAGCTGCGAGTTTTCCTTCTTCTGCCCTTGGACTCTGGGTCCTACTGCGGTATTGTGTTCTTTGGGTGCTGGGGTCCAGTCCCACTGCCCGGGGAGGGCTGTGGTCGAGGGGCACTGGCTGACCCGCGTCTTCTCCCCTCTCTCCTCTCCCTCTCCAGGTTCCCTGGTCCAGGCAGCGCTGACTCAGCCGCCCTCGGTGTCAGCGAACCCGGGACAAACCGTCCAGATCACCTGCTCTGGGGGTAGCAGCTATGGCTATGGCTGGTACCAGCAGAAGGTCCCTGGCACTGCCCCTTTCACTGTGATCTACGATAATAACAAGAGACCCTCGGGCATCCCTTCGCGCTTCTCCGGATCCCAGTCTGGCTCCACGGGCACGTTAACCATCACTGGGGTCCAAGCCGAGGACGAGGCTGTCTATTACTGTGGTGGCTACGACGGCAGCAGCAGTGCTGGTCACCATGATGGAGACTATGTCTGAGCTGGCACAAGCTGGGTGCAGGAAGAACCACAAAACCAGGGAAGGAATGCAAAGAGTAAATTCATACTCGTTACCTCCGAACTTGCAGATCTTCTCAGCAACTCCAAGGCAGAGGGCACAGGTGAAGAAGCAGGCAGTGCAGAGCTCAGTCCTTGTAAGCTGCAAAGAAGTGAACAGAGAAAAAAATCTTGGGCCTGCTCCTTTTTCCTGTATACACCCGAGATTTCCCCAAACATACTTTTCCACTGTGCTTTTATCTTTCCCACAGCAGGGCAGGAATCCTAAGGATATCCTATACAGTGCATCTGAGTCTCTCACAGACCTGTGTTAACTAAGTGCAGACAATCTACCTACCAGGCACGCGGAGCTAAACAACAATTAGCGTGATATATGTTTTTTTTGTCTCCCCAGCTGGAAGTCACTTGAACGTGCTTACACTCCTCCTTGCCAAACTTGCATTGTACTCCCAGAGGCTCCAACTCTGGCATCGCCCTCCTCCTGCTGCTGCCAGTTCTGCTTGCAGGACCCTCCCAGTCTGGCCTTTGGCTCTGTGCGCAGGGCTCTGGGTCCCTCAGTGGCATCATGGCCACCGGGCACAGGGGCCCCTACCCCATCCTGCTGCCCAAGGAGGGCCGTGTTCCCGGGGCACTGGCTGACCCCCAACTTCTGCCCCATCTCCTCTCCCACTCTGGTCCCTAGGCAGGGCTTAGTTATCCACCCGCAGTGTACGTGTCCCCAGGAGAAAGCAGCTGGATATTATCCTCCAAGATTAACAACTACTATGGCTGGCACCAGCAGAAGGTCCCTGGCACTGCCCCTGTCACTGTGACCTATCAGAATAGCAACAGACCCTCGGGCATCCCTTCGCGCTTCTCCGGATCCCAGTCTGGCTCCACGGGCACGTTAACCATCACTGGGGTCCAAGCCGAGGACGAGGCTGTCTATTACTGTGGTGGCTGGGACAGCAGCAGCAATGCTGGTCACCATAATGGAAGCACCGACTGTCCGTTCCATCCTCTTTGTGCTGCTGGTTCTCCTCGCAGGACCCTCGTGCTCTGGCACTGGGCTCTGTGTCCCTCTGTGGCATCATGGCCTTTGGGCACAGAGACCTATGCCACTGCCTGGGGAGGAGCTACAGCCACCCCTCAGGGAGTTCCTCTTGCAGCTGCGAGTTTTCCTTCTTCTGCCCATGGACTCTGGGTCCTACTGTGGTATTGTGTCCTTTGGGTGCGGGGGTCCAGTCCACTGCCCGGGGAGGGCTGTGCTCGAGGGGCACTGGCTGACCCGCATCTTCTCCCCTCTCTCCTCTCCCTCTCCAGGTTCCCTGGTCCAGGCAGCGCTGACTCAGCCGCCCTCGGTGTCAGCGAACCTGGGACAAACCGTCCAGATCACCTGCTCTGGGAGCAGCTACAGCTATGGCTGGTTTCAGCAGAAGGTCCCTGGCACTGCCCCTGTCACCGTGATCTACTGGAATGACAAGAGACCCTCGGGCATCCCTTCGCGCTTCTCCGGATCGAAGTCTGGCTACACTGGCACATTAACCATCACTGGGGTCCAAGCCGAGGACGAGGCTGTCTATTACTGTGGTGGCTGGGACAGCAGCAGCAGTGCTGGTCAGTGTGATGTAGGCACTGGCCTTGGCGTCCTCCTCTTCTTTTCTGCTAGTTTTCCTTCCTGGAACCTGATGTTCTGGCCTTGGTCTCTGGGTCCTACCATGGCATTATGGCCTTGTGGCACTGGGGTCCAGTCCCGCTGCCCGGGGAGGGCTGTGCTCGAGGGGCACTGGCTGACCCGCATCTTCTCCCCTCTCTCCTCTCCCTCTCCAGGTTCCCTGGTCCAGGCAGCGCTGACTCAGCCGCCCTCGGTGTCAGCGAACCTGGGACAAACCGTCCAGATCACCTGCTCTGGGAGCAGCTACAGCTATGGCTGGTTCCAGCAGAAGGTCCCTGGCACTGCCCCTCTCACCGTGATCTACTGGAATGACAAGAGACCCTCGGGCATCCCTTCGCGCTTCTCCGGATCCCAGTCTGGCTCCACGGGCACGTTAACCATCACTGGGGTCCAAGCCGAGGACGAGGCTGTCTATTACTGTGGTAGCTGGGACGACAGCAGCAGCTATGGTGCCCTGTTGACAAAGAGCAATGGGGAAGCGATACCAAAACCTCCCACCATTGCAGGGGCCAGTTCGGAGTCTCTTTTTTTTATACCCGTTTGTTGGTCTCAATGTCCCAGCCATGTCCCTGCCCTTGCTGCCCTGTGCTGCAGGTGGCTGTGCCCGCTGTCCCGGCTCAGCCGTTGTTAGAGCCCCAGCTCTGTGCCCGTCCCCCGTCACTTGAGCTATCGATGACCCCAGCAGCCCTTCTCCTGCCCCTTTCCCTGGCTGCAGCAAGACCCTCTTCTTGATGGCAGCTGCTCCCTACCCCCCCCCTTACATGCTCCTGGAGCTGCTGTCAGGTTCTCTGGCTGCTGGTGGGCTTCTCCCTGGCCGGGGGGCATCCAGCTGGCAGAGCTCTGTGCGAGCACTGGCACAGCAATGTCCGATGGCTCCTGCAGCCACCGGGCTCCTTCTGGAGCCGTGCGACTGGGAGGGAGCGTGGCAGCGCTGGGCTGTGGTTGAGGCCCTTGTGCTGCAGGGACGTTCCTGGCCTGTGCAGGGAGAGGTGTGGGCTGAGGAGCTGTGGGTGCTGCCGTGGGTTGGGGTGGCCGGCATGGCTGCGTGTGGGCTGGGGGAGCCCAGCTGAGCTGGGCTGCAGGTGAGGGGCCCCTGGCCGTGCTCGGGCAGGACCTGCCTGCAGCAAGGTCTCTGCCCTGCTCCCAGGCATCGCCGTGGTGGAGTTCAGCCTGCTGAAACGGCAGCCCTGTCGCAGAGAGTCAGGACTGTGCTGGCAGCGCAGGGGGAAGGACAAAGCTTCACCTTCAAACCCTGGGATGAGGAGTTTGGGGGGCAAAGCCCTGCTAGTGGGAAGCCTAGACAGCTGAGAGCCTACCAAGGGCTGCATGCCAGGGCAGCCTGTGGGACCATGTGCAGGGACCCTGCCCACAGGGGCTGCCCCACAGCCACTGCCATGTGCCCTGGGGATTGCCCGTGAGAGGCCTGAGCCCATCCCGAGGGCACTGGGCTGCGGTGCAGAGCTGGAAGTGGTGAAGCTGGGCACCACCTCCTCTGCTCGCATCAGGCCATGACTGGGCAGGAGAAGGGCCAGGCAGGGGGAAAGGCTGCACCTGGAGATGAGGGAAGGAGGGGGAATGGGGGGATCTGTCGCTACCGACATCTGGGAATGGGGGCACAGAAGGGCATTGGTGCTGCCCTATGCCACGTACCCAAAGCTGTCTGCAGCCGGTGCTGCCCCAGCCCATCTCTGCTCTGGGTGGTCCACGCTGGACCCAACCCTAAGCCCAGGGTGAGATTTGCATGGAGGGGCCGTGCCCGGGCGGGTGGGGGCTTAAAAGGGAGTCAGGGTGGACAACAGCCCCATCGGCGTGGGGACACGGAGCTGGTGGGATCGCGCCATGGCCTTGGCCGCTCTCCTCCTCGCGGTGCTCGCCCACAGCTCAGGTGCCCTGGACAGACTGGCTGCGCCCGGCCGGGGACGGGGGGCACAGGGGCCCGATCCCTGTCCCGCTGCCCAGGGAGGGCTGTGCTGGAGGGGCACTGGCTGACCCGCGTCTTCTCCCCTCTCTCCTCTCCCTCTCCAGGTTCCCTGGTCCAGGCAGCGCTGACTCAGCCGCCCTCGGTGTCAGCGAACCCGGGACAAACCGTCCAGATCACCTGCTCTGGGAGCAGCAACAGCTATGGCTGGTTCCAGCAGAAGGTCCCTGGCACTGCCCCTGTCACCGTGATCTATGCTAACAACAAGAGACCCTCGGGCATCCCTTCGCGCTTCTCCGGATCCCAGTCTGGCTCCACGGGCACGTTAACCATCACTGGGGTCCAAGCCGAGGACGAGGCTGTCTATTACTGTGGTGGCTGGGACAGCAGCAGCAATGCTGGTCACCATAATGGAAGCACCGACTGTCCGTTCCATCCTCTTTGTGCTGCTGGTTCTCCTCGCAGGACCGTCGTGCTCTGGCACTGGGCTCTGTGTCCCTCTGTGGCATCATGGCCTTTGGGCACAGAGACCTATGCCACTGCCTGGGGAGGAGCTACAGCCACCCCTCAGGGAGTTCCTCTTGCAGCTGCGAGTTTTCCTTCTTCTGCCCTTGGACTCTGGGTCCTACTGTGATATTGTGTCCTTTGGGTGCGGGGGTCCAGTCCCACCGCCCAGGGAGGGCTGTGCTCGAGGGGCACTGGCTGACCCGCGTCTTCTCCCCTCTCTCCTCTCCCTCTCCAAATTCCCCGGTCCAGGCAGCGCTGACTAAGCCGCCCTCAGTGTCAGCGAACCTGGGACAAAACGTCCAGATCACCTGCTCTGGCAGCAGCTACAGCTATGGCTGGTTCCAGCAGAAGGTCCCTGGCACTGCCCCTGTCACTGTGATCAACTGGAACACCAGCAGACCCTTGGACATCCTTCGCGCTTCTCCAGATCCTTGTCAGGCTCCACAGCCACATTAACCATCACTGGGGTCCAAGCCGAGGACGAGGCTGTCTATTACTGTGGTAGCGAAGACAGCAGCAACATTCATGGTGCCTCGTTGACACAGACCAATGGGGACGTGGTACAAAACTTTCAACCAGTGAAGGAGGCACTTTGGTGTGTCTGTTTTCCCCGTTTGCTGGTGGCAAAGTCCACGCCATGTCCCTGCCCTTCCTGCCCTGTCCTGCAGGTGGCTGTGCCTGCTGTCTCGGCTCAGCCGTCCCTTAGAGCCCCAGGTCTGTGCCCGTCCCCTGTCCTTTGGGGATGGGATGTACAGCATGTGGGCACGTGCCATTCTCCAGGGCCACATTACCCACTGCTGTGCTCCACGCTGAGGCAGAATCCATCTCTTACTTTGCTGGCTGGGGCACCAGTACTGACCAGTGTCATGGGGGCTCCCAGGATTGGGGGCGAGAGGCACAATCCCACTGCTGCCCCAGGGCCCTTGAGGTGCTGCCCGCTGCTGCCGCTGCCGTGCCTGGTCACAGCGTTGGAGCAGCGTGTGTGCCTGAGAGGTGGCTCCTGCCACGGGGCCCCAGCTCTGCTCCAGCAGGTCCCCTCCATGCTGGCTGCAGGGAGACAGCCCCCCTGCAGCCCTGCCCTGCCTCTGCCCCTCGGGCGCTCTGTGCCCCGGGCAGCCGGGGGGGACAGCATCAGGGACAGGGAGGGGGTGTGGGGTTAATTTGGGCCAGGCTGCCCAAGACGACCACGATCCCTGTGCCCTGGGTTGGAGCGGGGCCGGCCAGGGGCTGCCCCACTGTCTGTGAGCAGAGCCCCTGAGCTACCCCGGCTCTGGCTGCGTTGGCCCAGCACCGGCCCCTTGGGCTCGTGACTCAAGGGGTGGCATTGCTGGAGCCCCCGGGGCGCGGTGCCAGACAGGTCCTGTTGTGCTGGGAAGTGGATGGTTCGGAAGAGCAAGGGTCTTGAGTGCTGGCCTGGGTGGGCAGGGGAAGAGCCAGGGCAGAAAAGCAGCAGAGCACAAGGGTGCCTTAGGGAGCTGGGACACCCGCAGGAGAGAAAGAGGCTGAAAGTGGGGTGGGGAGAGCTGTCGGTTGGTGTGGTCCCAGCCCCATCACTGGGAGTTGCGAGTGCTGCCTGCCCCTCTTTGCCCCCTCCAGCCCGGCTGTCCCGTGCCCTTTGGCCCTGGCGCTGCTCGGCCCAGTCTGGGGATGTGGTGTCCATACTGGTGGGTTTTGGCTCTGAGCTGGGACTTGTCTCCGCTCTGTGCCCGGGGACAAGCCCCGCTGCATCTGGGGTGGTGGGGCTGGGCGTGGAGCGGGGCGGGAGGTGGGGAGGGAGACAGGGTCGGGATGGGGCTGTGAGCGCGGGGTGAGATTTGCATGGAGGGGCCGTGCCCGGGCGGGTGGGGGCTTAAAAGGGAGTCAGGGTGGACGGCACAGCCCCATCGGCGTGGGGACACGGAGCTGGTGGGATCGCGCCATGGCCTTGGCCGCTCTCCTCCTCGCGGTGCTCGCCCACAGCTCAGGTGCCCTGGACAGACTGGCTGCGCCCGGCCGGGGACGGGGGGCACAGGGGCCCGATCCCTGTCCCGCTGCCCGGGGAGGGCTGTGCTCGAGGGGCACTGGCCGACCCGCGTCTTCTCCCCTCTCTCCTCTCCCTCTCCAGGTTCCCTGGTCCAGGCAGTGCTGAATCAGCTGCCCTCAATGTCAGCGAACCTGGGACAAACCGTCCAGATCACCTGCTCTGGGATCAGCGGCAGCTATGTTGGCTGGTACCAGCAGAAGGTCCCTGGCACTGCCCCTGTCACTTTGATCTACTGGAGCACCAACAGACCCTCGGACATCCCTTCGCGCTTCTCCGGATCCTTGTCAGGCTCCACGGGCACGTTAACCATCACTGGGGTCCAAGCCGAGGACGAGGCTGTCTATTACTGTGGTAGCGAAGACAGCAGCAACATTCATGGTGCCTCGTTGACACAGACCAATGGGGAAGTTGTACAAAAATCTTAAACCAGTGAAGGAGGCACTTTGGTGTGTCTGTTTTCCCCGTTTGCTGGTGGCGAAGTCCACGCCATGTCCCTGCCCTCCCTGCCCTGTGCTGCAGGTGGCTGTGCCTGCTGTCTCGGCTCAGCCGTCCCTTAGAGCCCCAGGTCTGTGCCCGTCCCCTGTCCTTTGGGGATGGGATGTACAGCATGTGGGCACGTGCCATTCTCCAGGGCCACATTACCCACTGCTGTGCTCCACGCTGAGGCAGAATCCATCTCTTACTTTGCTGGCTGGGGCACCAGTACTGACCAGTGTCATGGGGACTCCCAGGATTGGGGGCGAGAGGCACAATCCCACTGCTGCCCCAGGGCCCTTGAGGTGCTGCCCGCTGCTGCCGCTGCCGTGCCTGGTCACAGCGTTGGAGCAGCGTGTGTGCCTGAGAGGTGGCTCCTGCCACGGGGCCCCAGCTCTGCTCCAGCAGGTCCCCTCCATGCTGGCTGCAGGGAGACAGCCCCCCTGCAGCCCTGCCCTGCCTCTGCCCCTCGGGCGCTCTGTGCCCCGGGCAGCCGGGGGGGACAGCATCAGGGACAGGGAGGGGGTGTGGGGTTAATTTGGGCCAGGCTGCCCAAGACGACCACGATCCCTGTGCCCTGGGTTGGAGCGGGGCCGGCCAGGGGCTGCCCCACTGTCTGTGAGCAGAGCCCCTGAGCTACCCCGGCTCTGGCTGCGTTGGCCCAGCACCGGCCCCTTGGGCTCGTGCCTCAAGGGGTGGCATTGCTGGA